GACACTTAATAACGACTTCCTTATGCAGCAGAGGGGGCAAGGTTCGTAAAGGCATCTCCACCAGATTCATTGGAAACTAAGGCCGCTATGGTGGGATTCGGATTCAGCTTAGACTCAATCTCGACAAAGTTTTTGTAGTCCAAACTCGAATCTTCATAAATCTCCCACCATTTTTTAACCAACATTTTGATGTCTTCACGGTCCATGTGTTGTTCACTTTCGTCATATTTCCAAGGCTTGGAACCCTGGCAAATTGATTAAAAATATAAAAAACTTGAGTAACATGAATCTAGATATATGTCAAGAAAGGAATTAAATAAAATAAAACGTACATTTGCACAGTAATGAACAACGCTAATTTGGTCAAGGTCAACATGTTCAGGATGACGCCAAATCATAGCCAATACCAGATTGTATGTCGAAGGGATGGGCTTGTAAATGTCTCTAAAGTAGACATTCAGAAAATCCTATAAACAATAAAATATATTAACTAGTATCAACAAATAAAGTAAACTCAAATAAAAAGAAGAGAAAACCGGACCTGTTCGGCAAAACAAGTTGGAGTAGTGATTTGAACAACTCGAAGGAGATCCTCGTAAGTGTCGAGATTTGGTTCAAACATTAACATACCAGCGTTGAAATACACTGGAGGTGGAGAACCAAGGGTTTCCACAGGCCACGTCACTTTTTCCGGTGACTGTTGGCAGTAGCCAATCTGGTATTGACGAGTATTGCACCAAGATATCTCGCAGAAGCAATCCTTAACGGCGTACAAGTAGCCGGAAGGATAATCGAAAAGATGATCGATGTTACTAAACACTTGTATGTCTCCATCTAGATATATCACCTTCTCAAACTCCACAAACTGCATGCATGTATGTATAACGTTAATTAATATTGACAAATTAAAATCATATTATAAAATATACATATATATTAAGGGGGTGAGATTGATTTTGACCTCCCAAATACGAAGCTTGGAGTAGTTGAGGACGAAATAAGCCATGGAATAACCAACTTTGTTTTCCGGGGGAATGACCTGTTCAATCTCACGGAGGATGCATCCCTGAGCCACCAAGATCTGACGGTGTTCCTCAGGCACGTCAGGGAGAAGGGCCACCACAAGAGGATAAGCCGATTTCACCTTACGAAGTCCTTTGGCTAAACCAACAACACCTTTCCAGTAATCTTTGTTTCCAGCCAGAAATGTAACATAAGCCCTTTTAGGATTCACTGTCATATTCGTTGAAGCCATCTCAAATAATCAAAAAGAGTTCGAGAAATTTATAAACTAGTAATTTTTTTTTCTTTTGTCGTTGTAAGTGTATGGAGAAAGATGGAGATGCCATTTCATTATATAGGAGAAGGGAGATATATCGACTTTAAATGCAGGAATTAATTATGAATCTTTTTCGTTATATAGAAATAATGGTTTTGGAAATAACGATCTCTTCTGTACCACGTTTTAAATAAAAATGGAAAGAATTATATAAGAATCGACCTAAATAAGGAAATGTGGATATCAAAGACTAATTTTCGAAAATTACAATCTTCAATTTAATCTTATAAGAATAAAGAAAAAACGAATCCAATATTACAATCCTTCATATCCAAAATTTGAAGATTTTGAATTTTGGATGTTTC